CGGCGGCTATATCCGACTGAGGGATGCCCTAGTCTGTTGACCGATCCTGATGCGACCATATGAGAGCCCGGTTGTAGCCTGCAGTAGATTCAATGAAGTAGCAATCCACACCATGGAGGAGTCTGATAATGGGAATGACACTGAAGATACTGTCACTCGTGGCTAGGTGGACACTGCGAACATTGTTCGTGAATATTCGAGCTCACGGCCGGTGCAAGTGTGCACGCGTGGCTACTGCATTTCGCACAATTGAATAGATCTCGATGACCAAGAGTTTGAAAATGTGCCGTAGAGCTGTTACCAGGAAGGATTTCTGTGGGAAATTGTTTCTCTGGCTCGGTCGGGCCTTATCGCGGCTCATTCCATCCATCGGCATATCGTGCGCCCCTGAGCGCCCCTGACTACGGCTTCGGGACTCCTCGTGCCTGGGCAAGGCACATCAGAGCAAGGATGGCATGAGGCTATACCCCTGCTAATTCCTACGTGTATCGGAGCTGACTTTCAGAGCGCAATTTAATTTGCTACGTGATTGCTTTTTGAGCGGAAGCAGTTCTAAGGTTGGATCATAGTAGCCGCTAGGATAATCTTGCATATTACCAAGGCAATTGCTACACCGGCGTGAACGAATGGCTACACCGGCGTCACTCTTACACAGGCGTCACTTCCATGGCCTCTGATTCGCTCTTTTTTCCTTCGACCCACAGGTACATCGGCGCAAAGGCGGTGAAGCCAGCTCCCTTAACAAGTCCCTCAGCTTCGGTAAAGAACCAATAGGGTCAACCCAGGTCTAAATCGAGCTCATAACAAGATCTGCAGAACAAGACCAATTCAAGTATGCTCTAGATGCCAGCTCTCCATATCGCTATCCTCTCACTACTATCGAGGGAAGTACCTCCTCGTCGCTGTCAAGCAGCTCCCACTGACTCCTTCGCCTACGAATGCTAGGCTGCGTCTGCCGCCCGCTGGCACGTACTCCTGTAGTTCTTCCAGCTCCAAGAACAACTGACCGGCTGCGCGTTTGGCGCTGGGATGGGGTACTGGCCTGGTTACTAGCCTGGCTGCTGGTCTGTTGGCTCACTTCCAGTGGAGGCCTAGCTAGCGTTGACTTGTTGAGACTTCCCGGTGGTCGACCACGTCTGCGCCGTGGTGACTTGCTTGCTGGTTTGTTGGCTGGCTGGCTACTGGGCTGGCTGCTTGCCCCGATGGCTAGCCGCGCTGGAACAACCTGCGTGGTGTTCTTAGGTCTGCCCCGGAGAGCAGTGGCGATCTTAGGGTCGAGGATTCGTCGGTATGGATCTCGAGAGGATGGCTCTCGTAGGCGCCACCGAGGATGGACCTCCCATTTGGTGAAAGGCGTGCCACTTCCCAGCTTTGAGTAGATTGTGTGACAGCAGGGGATTCCAAGTTCCGTCGAAACCGAGCATTCCTCGCCGCAATCCCCGAGAGGGTCAGGAAACGGATTCTTTCTTGTCGGCATTGCTTTCCTTGCCAGCCGATATTGTTTCGTGATCAGTCCGAGACCCTTCGAAGAGAGCGCTATTCGGAGTTCGCCAAGATACTCCGAGCCGGACCCCATATACTCTCGTGCGGTAAGTACCTCATCCGCTGCGCAGGCATCGTTGAAATCCCGCTCTTGGTCCTTCATCATGTCCTGCATAGCCTCAAAAAGGCGATAAAGATTGCTCATACCATTCAGAAGATAGCTCTTGATGTTGTTGTTGCTTGCTTCTGTACCAGAGGTGACACGGACCCCGAAATTGCGATACTTCCGGATGAAACAGCGGGCCCATTGGGCCCTGACGGGCATGTAGGTTCCATGGAGATACCGCAGGATAGCTCGCTGGTCATCAAACTCCTTACAGAGGTTTGCCCATGCCTCCTCGTGGGCCTCCTCCGTCTCAGCAAATAAGACGAGCTTCCACATGATGAGAACTCCTCGATAGTTATGAGGGATAGCCTCGGTTGTTGGCGTGTGAACCAACTCTCGGTCTTGAGGGGTTAGTTGAGCTTGTGGCTGCGGGGTAGTTGCCTCTCCGTCGCTGGTACCAGGGCTACTTCTGCTGCTGCTGCGGGCGTTAACCCACCTCTGCTTTGACTTAAGCAGGATGTTCGAATTGATGTGGTGGATGCACAGCTGCTGCTGTACATCGGGGAACTGGTCGTTCAATGCGGCTTTCATCTGGTCGTCGAAATCGGTGACGATCACATCCGGTCGCCGGATGGAGTGCTGCTCTGCTAGCTGTCGAATGCTCTCGGAGAGGAATTGGAACCCTTCTCTCCTCTCGTTATCTATCAGACCGAAGGCAGCGTTATAGACAGAGCCAAGGCATGTCTGTCCCGTTGCTTGGAATAAGGGAAGCTTGAAGCGGTTCGTGTTATATGTGTTGTCGAAGCTGATCACCTCGGGGAACCGCTTCCACATCTGGAGGCAGTAAGGAAATGTCCAGACAAGGCCAACAAGACGGTTTGGCTCATCGTCTCCCCACTTAACGAGATAGGGAACCTTCATCTCGTCAAGCAGCTTGATCAGTGCTGCAGTAGGAGTATGGCCATCCAGCTTGTCTCGGTTGATACGAGATCTGGCGTTATAGATATCCTTTCGTGTAAAGGATGATTCGGGATGCTGCTCCTGGACGATAGCACGTACGTCACGGGCCCGAATTCCGACCCGACGGCTTGTCGATTCGACCGTTGTCCTGATAGGCTCGGTGAGTCTCCGATGGGAGGGATGAGCAGATGGCCCGATGCTGCGGCCGTGGTTATGCTGGCTGTGTTCGGGCTTCGAGTGTTGTCGTAAGAGCCACTTCCCCTCTTCTAACGCCTCGGCAACAACCATCCATTTACATCCACACTTTCGAGACTTCCGTCGTCGAAGTCCTGCGCCTTGACTAGGGGCTGGTTCTCCGAATCGATCGCATTGAAAAGTGTACCGGATCCTCCGACCCTTATATGAATGTGCATTTCGTCGAACAATACCGAAGCCATTAGCCTTCGCGAAAGTATTCACCCACTCGAACAGGACTTCGGCTGACGGCGCTGGGTCGCCTGGGATAGCTGGGTTCGGGATCCCGTCAGGGACAGGCGATGACGAGAGGTCGGGCAAGGGCGGTGAAGCTATAGTCGGAGAGTGCCTGTCTCGGGGAGGCGAGTAGGGCGGAGGTGATTCGAGTGCATCTGAACTAAGCGGCGAGTAACCCCATCTCTCACGCCATTGGCGGACTTGTTCGTATGACCGGACGAGCTCGAGGGTTAGTCTCCGGTGTGTCCCAATCACCTCGCGTACTAGCTTGAGAACAGAATGAAACTCGGCCTTGGTGGGAGAGGGATGCTCTTGTACTGATTGCGGTGGAGAGGAGCGAGGTAGTTGGTCCGTTTCTGGGCCTGGTATAGGGATTCTAACTCGTTGGGACCGTCTTCCTTGGGATGGGAAATCGTTCGAAAGGTGAATCTCTTGATCGAATCGTAGCCCCCATGGTGGCTCGTTCAGCCCGCGCGATCCACGGGGCCGTGGCGCGGTCGTCAACGTCTCTGGATATGAGGCGAAAAGATTATAGAGTGCTTCATCGTCGCCGACGCCGTAGTGTCGGCCAATGCTCGTGCCTGTGCTATTAGAGGAAGGTGGTCTTGAACTATCAGATTGGTCCTGCCGCTGTCGTTTTCGAGGCCGGAATTGATAGCTTCGTCGTCGTTGGTTGCTTAGGGAGCTAGATGGAGACTCGGGCTGGGACATGACGGCCTCGATCGCGATAGGGAGTGTCGCACGCACGGTGAGAAGATGAGTAAAAGAGTACTTGATTCGACTATGAAAGAAGGAAAGAAGGGTCTCATTTGGGGCAGAAAGTAAAGACCTGCTTTGCGATGCCGATTCTAGATGAGGCTGTTGGCGTGATCTGATACAGCCTGTGTTCGAGTTTTGGTCTCAGCAGGGGTCCAACACACCTCACTCCAGCCCTGTGACCTTAACAAATACCGTATCTTTCGCGAAAATCATTCTAAGTAGGCTCGACATGCGGCAAAGAGGTAATTAGTGTAGTAGCTAGCTGGTGAAGAGCTTCCATAAGGCGCGTCGATCGTTGCGGTGGAGAGGTAAGCCCGAGGTACAACGGGCGCTGTTGGCAGAATCTAAATGCACTAGCAAAAAGGGATGGACCAATCAAAGGCCGTAAAAGCGACGCCTGTATAAGAGTGACGCCGGTGTAGCCATTCGTTCACGCCGGTGTAGCAATTGCCATTACCAAAAGGTTGACCAACGTCTGTGAAAATAATCGAGGATGGAGAGATGCATTAGTCCCACCATCCCGATCGTCCTAAGTCTGATCTAAGACAACGTTTGATTTCCGTGGCAGAGCAGCGACATCCATTCCATTTGGCGAGGAGCGATAGTGAGCATTCATCGTTTCACGTCATGTCCTCAGCGTATACTCAAGACTTTATTATGATGACTGAAGCACATTTCAGTAATGCCTGGACGTGCTATGCCGTACCTGTGTTATTCAGGCGACCTCAGCACCTGAAAAGCTCGGAGTCACCGTCGGATTCACCGAAGCATCTGATACTTAGTGTTTGATCTAGTCCCATGCCTGTAGTGTGCTGAGCTCGCTACGCGAAGGTACGTAGAAACCGTGGACCAATCGCGGAACTTCCCCTTAGGCAGCCACAATACTAGGAGGCTGCCATACCCTGCTATCATCCTAGCTTCGGCACACGGTGAGAGTTTCAAAGGCCTGATTTCTCAGTGTATGACGCCATGCATATGCACGCTCCCATCTTTCGCGTTCTAGACGCAGCGCGATTCCCAGCTATGTTTCATTCAAGGACTATGAGTTGCTTGCCGGTCGCCCGGTGAGTCGTGGCTGATTCAGATCCGACGCCGTCGTATCAGCCCGTGAAGGCCAAACCATACTCACTATTGCCAATGATGACTGGCTGAGTAGATTTGATTTTTTTCTATGTAAGTTCGCGATCGTAGTCTAGCCTTACTTGTAGCCTTTAGCTACAGTCTAGAAGTTCGCCTTTTCTGACCTAGTGTAGTATTGTACGTACATAATCAATAACCATATACGTCATGAGGAAAGTGGCGTCCTCTGCGGCGTCTTGCACTCGCGAGGAAAGTAAGATTCCTATCCAAATGCACAAACAGGTCCACGGGATTCTCATCGGCTTTGAATGTCACGTCCCAATAGCCCGGCCGTCATTATGCATCGCAGGGTCGTGAGATTGCTCGAGGCCTGCGAGAGTGGTCAAACACTGCATCACTGTTATTACAATAATGATAAGATTAGCTTTTCAGATAAGTTAGCGTTATCCCCTATGTAGTTTAAGTTCCAAGTAGCCGCTGCGGGGCAGCGCTTGCGTATTCTGATGTCCCGAAGTGAACATCTGGCTTTCGAAGCCTGCAACATCTCAGCGGATAGGGATTGCCAAAGGTCATGACCCTAATGGCCTATGTGGGGACCCTGTCCCTTGGACGAGCGATTTTGGTGACTGTCGCAGAGTAGAATTAGGAACGTGTTTCTACTGAGAGTATACGTGAAGGATTATTCAAGCACGGCATGTTATTAGTTACCACCGCTTTGTCCACCGAGACACATTTGCAAGGAGAACTCGACCGGTTAGTGTGAGGCAAAAATCATACAACCGACTCGTATAGTTTCGCAGCCTGGACCCGGGCACCCAACGCCTGTAGTGGATACTCCCAGTACGGAAAGTCATGGGACGTGATGGGTTGTCTTTGGTTTTGCGCCCATTCTTCGTGTTAGATGACAACATAATCGATCTTGATATCTCTGGGAAGGGAGCTTTCTTGCAAACGGCTACGCTGAATATATAGCCGAGGACGTGATGTTGAGTATGACAAATGCCAACTTGGTAGAAGACACAACACGACACGAGATGACCAATAGTCGACGTCAAGACTTTGAACGGCAATGGCTGTATTTCCCAAGGCTGCATGCAAGAGGACTCGTCAAATAATACATCTTCGCGATGCTCGTTATTGGTGGCGGTTTATAGCTTTTGCAATGCTCACCTGCGATTAACTAACGGCATGAAGACGGTTTGCACACGCACTGGATTGTGAGTAATGCCCAGCAGAGCCTCGAGGGTATTCTCGCCCTGGAGTGTTCCAGTAGCGGAGGTGGTGATGGACCTCGACCAGCTTATTAATTTTTGCAAGGATGAAAACGAAGATATAAACCGACTCTATGGATTGAGCAGTCATCGATCGGCAGCACACACCATCCCAATCCTTTCTGCTACAAAAGGCTGCAGAAGGAGTAGAGAGCAGTTCGGACATTTCGCAATTGAGAAAATTGTCCGTAAGCACGAACGTATTGTTCTCCACACTGACTGGTCAATCCAGTCGCTCACGTGTTCAAGGCAGAGGTTCAAGGTTGTCGGGTTCTTAGGCCGTAACTCCTGGTCAAAACCAGCACCCTCTAGCGAGACGAGGAAATTTGGATAGACGGAACATGCTAGACATTATGGAATATTATCACATGTCCATTTGTGGATGCATCAAACACGACGGTTGCTTCAATGCTCGATTCTCATCTCGTCAAAAGGACCGCACTATTGGACATGGTGTACCAGATCAAGATTTGGCAGAGCTTCTTTGACAGTCTTCAAAACCTCTAATCATAGGAAATCATAACAACCTCGCGGGTCATGTGCTAGGAGGCTGACAGATCCATAGTGGAAGCAAGATTGGCAAAGTTCGGCCATCCCGGGCCTTTCGGGCATATCTAGGGTGATGTAATGCCATCCTTCGTAGCTACTGCATAGACAGCTGTCTCGCCACAATTCCAATCTGCATGGTTCCTGTGGACATATGCAGAGGGGACACCCTTCCTAACTCCAAAGTACACCTTATCCCTGTACCACATCCAAGGGTATTTCTTGATCGGTTACCCCTGTATGCTAGAACGTCAACGGCAGTCTTCCTCGCCACAATCGGCTCTCACAATCTCCGGTACACTGCTTTTTCTAGGCTAACTGTAAGGCAACAACATAGGGTCCATCATTATCGACGCGAGCAAGCGCCCCGCTGTGGCAATTGCTAGAGCGTCTGGTAGAGCTCGAAAGGACCTGCATTTCATGCTGTTCTTGGTGGCCCTCATGGCCAACCGGCTTTCTTTCGCTACGCACGGTATAGAGGTAGTGTCGCGCCATCGCCAGGTTAACGCATAAAAGGCTTACATTAAGCTCGATGATTCCAAGGAGTATCGTAGGCAGCAAAGTTCCTGTTAGGTTTGACGGTTGGACCTCTCGTAAGAACTTGAATTGCAATGCACTCGTTATTATATGCCTGAAGGAAAAGCCGGTGTCAGCTCCTCATGGAGACAGATAATCAGGAAAGGTCATTTACTTACACCAAGCCTATCGAGAACCAAGCGATCGTCTTCATCCTATCGGAAGATTTCATATTTAACTTCCATACGGGATAGAGAGGAAGTATTGCGATCAAGACCTCGGTAATCATGTGTGTGAAAATGAGAACTTCCAAGCCGGGTCGCTGTTCGATCCACGGGATTCGCATGGGATTGATGAACACAAGCACAAGGACGGTGACGGATGCTACAAGCCAAGCAGCAACGCAGGATATGGCCAGGATAGAGCAATAGTTGATCCACTGTGTCGAAATGAACGTTATATACCAGCACAGCTGGGAGCACTTCGTGCAGCTGAGGGCACAGCTGTATAAGATGGTGCTGGCAAACGTGGCCTAGGAATCATGTTAATCTGCATGGGATGTACGAGCATCGCCCTTTGGGGACACCCACCTGCAGCAAGGCCGGCAAATGATCTATCACTGTTACTGTTAGAGTGTTGACATGTCTAGACTCGTAGTGGCTGCTGTACTCACGAACAGTGTAGATCTCGGACTCAGGGTTCAAATCGTACCCGATACCGCCCGCGAACCCTAATTGTCGAGTTAAGAGCGCATACGATGGTTTGTCGGTCGGAGGCAGTAGGATGTATAATCTTACCTTGTACCGCGAGCACTACCACGGCGAAGGTGAAAAGCTGGAAGGATGAACAAGGTCAGTCTCCGGAGACCACCTCCTTGCGGCAGTGGGGACTCACTGTTGCAATGATCGCGAACCAGTTATCCCAGCCACGAAAGTACGGCGAGCCCTGAGGGCGCAATTCCTTCCGGGTTTTAAGCCGCAAAATCAAGATTAGGACGTTGATAGAGAAAATCAGGATGCCAATGATGGCACAGACGAGAGCCGTCGTGTCCATCTTCAATGATTCAGGCATGCCCAATCTTGAAGCTCGATGACTTGATGATAGCACAACGAAAGAAATGATGAAATTTTCAGTCTTAATGGGGAGCGTCAGGGGGGCTTTAAGTCCGTTTAGCCATCGTCAAGTCCCGTCATGCACAGGTCAGCAGCCAGTGGATCTCCGCTGAAAGGGCTCTGGGTCAATCCTCTCGTCACCCCTGTGGCTCCAGGGACATAGTAACGACTTTATACGCTTCCAGAGGTTAGCCTTGTCTTTATGCCTGCCCTTCTAATCCCTTTCATCTTTCATTGCGCTACAGTCCTGCACTAGCTATTCCGCCTTATAGCTCATTTAGGAAGTCGCGCCAGGGGCTTATGAAGTCCTTAATCAGCTCCCTAACGCCTAAATCTACCCTTTTCTCTGGACGCCATAGCAGTATGCAATCTAGCTGAAACGAGGCACACCTTGTTCTTGTTCGTGGAAGGCACTTGCTATAAGGTATTTGACTCCGTCTTCTGCGGTGCGCAGGACCGACAGCGGAGAATCAATGTCTCTAAAGGATGCACCTTAGTTATGGCTGCGAGACGTCGCGAGCGGCACAACATAAGCTCCTTCCCGTGCTCGGCTTAAAATGTCAATCCGGGTGTGATTTACATCGAGTTCTCAAGTAGAAGTGGTTGCCATGTTATTATTCTTGCTTCCCAGTGCGTTGAACAAATGTTATTCTATTGGCGCTTAGGTAGTTGAGGCTGAAATAAAATTCGTGTCTCTTAACGCCAATTTACACGCTCTGTACACTGGCCTGGAGGTTGTTCCCGAAGACAAAGGTGTAGAGGTGTAGTAGTGCACAGAAGTGATCTCATATTGCCGTCGAAACGCATCTCCTTGGTGCCATGCTGACCTAACTAAATATTTGCATGCATGCGCGTCCTCATTCGTGCTTGAGCACTTATAGTGCCACTTAGTAATAAACCCACTGAGAATATATCTTGATAACATTAAACGATAGCCTCAGAAAACGCTGACCAACGTTATCGTCCATAAATAAATGCTCTCATAGCGTAATACGATTACAAAACAAAACAGACTCTTCCGTATCAACGATCTGTACTTTAGAAGCAATGCTAAACTTGGGGAAGCAGTACATATCCTGTCTATATTGGTTTTCACAAAATGGTAAAACAGTCGAAGTACGCACAGTCGCTCCTCTTTACCACGGTGTTGGTCGCGGTGAAGACAGCAAACGCAATGGCGATGGCCTCCTTGGCACCACCTCGAAGAGAAACCTGTCCGGCATCATACTGCCCTGCTAAGCCTCAGTTTCTGCCGACAATCATTAGTGAAGGAACATGCCCGGCTGACTGGGCCGTGGCCGAGGAGGTCCCTGATTGGGCTGTAAAGAAACGAGGCTGGTATCCTACCATCAGGATGACCTCATTGGAGAAGGCCTCCGCCGAATGCCTGAATCGTTCGACAGCCGGACACAGTCTGATGAAAGGGTTAGAACAAGCACAACAAATAACCCAGGATGTGAATGTGAGTCTATTGGGCTGGCATGGAGCTCTATTTATGGCTTTGACCGAGTGGTGGCGTCTGTGTAGATCTCCATTGAAAGTAAGGCTAGGCCAACCAGTAAGTGGATGGCGCCCTGCTCTCTTGACATCACCTGAGGTATGGCGCATGGCCGAATACCTCTATTCCCAAGGGTCAGAATCAGATCACACATGGTTGAATGGAACAGACGACACACTCCGAACTATCGCGACCCGTGTTGGCTGCGATGGCTTGCAAGAAGGAAGTGGATACCCAGGGAGGCTAAAGGCGCCTGCTTTATTTCATTTACTGGATGCACACTGCACGTATGACCAGTGGCTTTTCGGCAGTATATTACACAGCCTTAATACAATCAGAGGGATTGCGCGCACATCGAGTTGGCCTGATATCGAAGATGAAGCAGGCGATATGAAAGAGCACTTGCGTAAATTTGGCCAGAAGATGGACACTTCCGTCAACTTCACGTAGACGGTCATGCAAAAGAGTAATTGGGATAGCCGCGTTGCTTTACCGCTGCTTGGGAACTATCATTGTGGGCGTGATGATGCGTTGGCTTTGTGGGACGCGATGTATGGATGGATGTTTCTCAAAGACGTTCATCCGTACTACCTATAGACAGTGGGAGACTTTGTTAATTGAGGTATCCGGGCTTGATACACAGTGGCTATGTACAATGCCCACGTCTCACGAAATAAACGCATTGAAGTCCACCCGGCTCGCCCTACATCGGTTGAGAGCATATATAGTTCCTCGGCTGGCCCTCCATTGCGTCCGGGCTGCTGACCACCTCTGGTTTAGCGTATGTGCAAAGCCACATATGTCTCAGTCCATGAAACAGTAATGAAGTCTTGCACTAACGTACATACTATATCTTGCTTGACTCCCTATGCCGCCTGCCTTCAAATCGCATTGGGTTATGGGGTCAGCAACAAGTCAAAGGATGCGGTGAATGATTGTCTTCGCCTGCTTGAGGCCTCTTATGCGGCAGGATTATCACGTTTGGCGCAATTTTCAGCAGCTGTGGCTCGCACCTTGTCACCCTCAGGGATGAAGTTGACAGCCTCGAACTTCATCAGTGCGCTACAAATCAGGGACAGCAAGCCCGCGGCGAAGACTATCCAGAAGAGGCGGACAACAACAGTCGTCAGGCCTTCGACGATAGCGGGGACCCAGGGCCGGATCATCGCGAGCCCTCTCGAACAGAACCGACTTGATGTCGGTCAGCACCTCAAGGCACTCGAGGTCGGTGAGCGTCTGGCTGGCACCGCCCTCGGCGGAGTGCTGCATACGCTGGCGGCCAACCTTTTGATAGACGGCCCTAGCTATAATGACACCACTAAGCTGGGACAGATTGTATAGCATAGCGGCGTCAAAGTGCATCTCTGTAGGCAAGAGTACTGAGGCGATGAGCTTGTCGAGCGAGCAGATGAGGCGGCAGCCTAGGCCAGTGATTGCGTCGAAGTCTACAATAGGCGACTCAGAGGTGTCTGGGAGTACGAGTGGCCACAGGTCACTACCGATGACCAGCAGCAATGAGCCCGAGGCGAAAACAACCATGTAGTAGCGGACCTTTGGCAGCAGACCAGCTGCGATACACATCATGATGATGAAAGGACCGATGAATGGCAGCAGGCGGACGGCGGCTCAGACGGGGGTCTCGCCGCGTATAGAGGTAAAGTGTAGCGGCGTGTAGTATATCGTGACGCCATAACTCATGGCCGCGCAGATACTGTAGAGCGCCACGAGCGAGACAACGGGTCTGGTGGTGAGAACCGTGAGGAGCAGAATGCGGGGCTCCGCGGTAGTCCCCAGGCCAAAGGTCTGCTGGACAACATTGCCGACGAGCACTAGTCCAAAAGCCACATGGATGGCGATAGACGACCCGAAGCCCCATGGTCACGTGATCCCGCCGCCGATGCACGCAAAGCCCAGCAGGACGAGGGTGGCCATGTGCAGGACACAGCCGAACCAGTCAATCTCGTCCGGCTGTGTCGCTATCGACTTGGAAGTAGGTATTTGATATTGATACCAAGAGGCACGGCACCCATAACGACAATATAAAAGGCCCAGCGCCAGGTGGCGTGCGGCGTCTCAGTAAGGGCACCCCCGATCAAGCGGCCCGTCAGAAGGCCGATTGCAAAGCAGGCGCCGACCATGGCTTGCGCAAAGGCGAGCTCGAGGGGCAATGCAAAGACAACATTGTACGTTAGGATCAACTGGTATGAGAGGGCACCGCCAATGCCCAGCATCGCGCGACCGACAATGACGACTTCGATGCTCAGGGCAGCGCCAATCACCGCCGCAGAAACCATCACTAGCACCACCGCGATAATGTACAACATCTTCAGGTCGAAAATGCGCGTGAGCTCGCGAAAGAGCGGGATGCACGCCGCATTGACAAGTGAGTTCGCCAAGGATACCGAAGGTAGTACCTCAATCTGCCCAAAGACCTCATAGATGGCTACATGCGTGTTGGAGACATTTGACACGTTGGAGCCTAGAAGCATGGAGAAAAGCAAGATTCCGTCAGTCGATTAGCAAAACGGTTGGGCCGTCTGGTGATCGCGTAAGTCTCGAAATGAGGAACAAAAATCTACCACTAATGGCAGATAGAAGGGCTGTCGCAAGGAGCATTAACTTCCACTTGTAGGCCGGCACTTTCTCTCGGGGGTGACGAGGAGGAATGATATAGGTTGAGGTCAGCGGCTTCAGGGCCTCTCGTATCCTCTTTTGCATGCTCATCGTACAGTGCTCCAAACAAGCTGTGGCTATAACCAGCACTTCCTCGACAATATTGTTCTGAGTAAATCTGAGCATCTCCATGCTGTGGACATTTCAGTGATGGCATTCTTGATTCAAATTTGTGTGCCTTCTTGTCCTCCACGGTCGTCAGGCTGTCACAGACCCCACTGACTACAGCTTCGAGCTTCTTTACGAACACTGGGCATCAATTCACCTCAGGATAGTCAGACTTAACGTGCTTTTTGGCCAGCAGTTTCTTCTCTTCGGCGCCGCTCGGGGCTGTGACTAAAATGTTCTTCTTTTTCTCGCGAGTCAGGAGATTCTTGAAAGCTGGCACTGGTGAAGACTGGAGGGCTACGACTGACGGGTACATCGGAGCCAACTTCTCTGTGGCTTTGAAGTCCTCCGCAGTTGTCTGAACGAAGATGAAGGGGGGAGGGGGGAGGCCTGGCGTCACGCTCGCCTGTATGCCTTGCCAAGCTCTTAGCATAACGGAGTGCTTGTTTGCAGGCTTCCTTGCCCTATGGCTTCACAACATACCTCCACCCTGAGAAAACCAAATGCAGGCTGTATCGCAACAGCACCAGCACCAAGTTGAAGCGATGATCAAAGCGCGGCACATCATTCGGCGAGCGTATAGCTGGTTGAATGATTCTACAGTAATCAAATGGAACGGACTCTTGACCCTCTTCGAGGTTTACAAATGGCTGCACTAGCAAAGTGTACCCCGGCTTTTACTTATCATCGCCTTAGGGTTGGGTTTGCTTGGTTTTGTGCGTGCTTGTTTGCGTGTTTTTACGTGTGTCTACTGCAAGCCCCGAAAACCTGACTACACCCATGCTAGCCCCACTCTGCGCAGAAACATCTCGACCCTTTGCAATGATCACCCCACTATGCATGCTACAGTACTAGACTGGTCACTGTCGTGCCGGCCATTTCCGTCGCATGGAGTACATCCCGACATATTGTTTTGCGTCTAATGACAATGCATAGCGTGAAAAGAATCGTCATTATTTTAAAGCTGGGGCGGCTTTATTTGCCAATGGTAAACATCACTCGGTGCACTTGCTTAGGTTTCGAGTTGGCATACCTCACCTGCATACAAAAGTCAGTCCTACTTGCATTTATGGACGTCAGTGTCTGCTCCTTCCATCCTCATAAGCCACCAGTCAGTTTCTTGGTGAGAAAGAATCTCATAAAACCCTCCAGCCAAAATGCTGTTCGTAAAGTTCCCCATCCTCGCAAGCCTCGTAGCCACCTCCACGGCCATCGACTTCCGCTGGTACGCACAACGCGGCTGCAGTGGTCACTACTGGCAGTGCACCAACATCAACCCGGATAGATGCTGCTCTGTCGGCCGTCAAGACACGAACTCGGCCATCAGCTGGAATGCAATACCTTCCGACTGGAACATCCTTGGGCTTGGGTACTGGCAGGAGGGGTGCAATGGCACAGTGGCCGGGTCTGGGCAGAGCGGGGGCAGTCCCGATTTGTGTTTTCCCACGCCCCAATACCGAGCGGGCAGGTATTACTTCGCCAGCGCAAGGTCCAACATACAAGAGAATCTCGCGGAGAATGGCGAGCCGTGCCAAAAGCCTGACCTCATTGTTTACGAGGATGGTACGGATTTCGACCTTACCGAGCTAACTAACGAGCAGTATGCCCAAGTGGTAAGCAAAAGTCCCCCCTATGATAATCGAAACATGGTTTTCTGAATCGGCTAACCCATCTCCATCATACCAGTAAGCAACGCGCGAGCCTCCCGCGCCAACTTCTCCGGCGTTTTGTATGATGATATTCCAATAACTCAGATATCGGCTAACACAATTTATCCTTAGTATGGAGACTTTCATGTCCGGAGGCTCTGCCTCGGATGTGGAGAGCTCCCTCACTGCTCTTCGAGGTTCAACGGTCCATCGGGTCTCCTCTCACTGGTCACGGGCCTGGGCCTGGATGTGGCAGTTAGCGTAGCGCCGTTGGTGCGAGAGAGGAGTCCAAGCAGAAGCGCTCAGTCTATCACCTGTTCCCAATTAGTTGGTGGCTGCCCTCTGTCCTAGATGCCTTTTAGTCAAGAGATCAAGTTGATACGTAAAATGTATTCTACAATTGTGATGTCCTTCGGGGGGAAATCCTGTTCATATCACGTCCTCGATTAACCAAGGAAGGGAAGCCATGCCTAGAGTTTATGTCGAAGGTAAGGTACCTATATTTTGGCTCGGCACGCAGGTGACTCACGATGCAGATATGGATATTAGCATGAAATATCCGGATACTGGGAGCGAGGGTCGTGTAGTTTTATAATGCTGGCCCTGAAACAAAACCACGAGCGGCAGGGCCCAGAGTAGACTCGAGTCTGGATAGAGTAACTGGGTAGTACTTTAGCTTCCTCAAGTGCACTCGGGCATTCATGCCAATGTAATATCCTCGATCCTCTCTGTTCTTCGCCTAGCACTTTACCCGCGTCCAAGCCAGTGATGTAGGTCGAGGGGCAACATTCATCTGGGGGCGGGGTGCACTGATCGATCAAAACTCTGGGACCGGCCATCAATCAGGAACCAAGCTACCATGACAGATTCTTCTAAAAGTCTGACGGGAAGGAAACTGATTTAGTTATGATCTACGAGATGGGAAATACATACTGTCAGCTTCCAAGGTTAACTTTCCATCCGTCAATTTTCCCATCTTCATTTTCTGAAATCCCTTCAAAGTATTCAAGGAAACGATCCGTATAATTATATGTTTCGTCTTCGTCAATTATCTCTCCAGCTTTCTCATCTTCCTCTTCTAGCATTGCTCGTCTCTCGTAGAAAGAGGTGATCATCGTTAATACCGTATATACACTGGACATTGCCGGAATTTTGATGCCTCTATAGAAGCTACGATTGCTGTTTGGTAGCCATAGTGTAGCTGCATTCTCAAAGAGGATATCGTCCATATGAAAAGGAACAGGCTTCCCACCGCTTGATCTATCATTGGCTGTTGCCTCATATGGCGAGCGCCATAAAGGCCAAGACCATCCAAGATCTACAAGCGCCTGGGCCCTGTTCGATGGTTGTGTTAAGTTTCCCTGAAGGAATGTGATCCATTCGCCGAGGTTGATTGACTGTTCGATGACGTCTTTCAGCGCCAGTGCCATCGCTAAATGGACCCACTTGTCTCCCACTCGAGCGTCTTCAGAGATGAATTTTGCGATGACAACGGCAAGCTGTAGATGTGGTTGACCTTGCCACTTTGACAAAGATTCTAATTGTTTGATCACCCCATCCCAATTCTTAAGGATGTTCCTGAGCCTCTTATTAACATAGTTATCGCTTCGAACATGGACCTGGTGTGCGCGATTTCTGGCAGCTGTAAAAAAGGGGCTAAGTAATGGAAAATCAGGCCAGTCTTTTGTAAGCATCTGCATTATGAAAATCCAGACCTTCCTACTATCATGTAGTTGATCAACCATGTTAATATTTCCCAATTCAATCGAATGCATAGCCAGATTGAAATGGAAGTCCTTGTCGGGCTTTATTTTCCCCCCGTTGCCCGGGAAAGAACGACGAGCCCAAAGATTCGTAATGGATGCCCAGGTAAAGTAAACCCGTAGGTCGTCAATACTTAGCTTCGGGTCCCGTCTCGCAACGCAGTTGGTAATGAGAGTGAAAAACGCCCGCAGATCGCGCCTTTCTATTTGAACTATAGGCTGTAGAACTCCCTTTGAAGTCCAGTCCTTAACAAAGGCTTCGAGCTCCTGTAAAAGATCGCCTTCCTCAAACTCATTCGCTCTTTGTAGAGCTTGAGGCACGTCTTCTGCATACTGCGCTACTCCATAAACGTTGGACCAGTCTTCTTGAAGGAGTGCTCTTAGAAAGGGCGTAATATGGTCGTTGGTGTCTAAAGGTTTCGTTGTACAATCTGGCGTTTCTGATCTGTAATCTTCCGCGTCAAAGTATTCCTCCAGAGTGGCCTCTTCATAAGTGTTATCTTGACCTCTTGTTTCTAGAATACTAGATATTCGGCTTTTGCTCCTAGTAAATACCATTATTTAGTGACCATTTTTGGAACTGAGGATGCCTTTAACGTAATCCACAAGCAAGCGGGTCACACAAGCGACCGGGTCATATTCCTGCAATTCTCAATTACTCCTCTTCTTTCCTTAATTTCTCCACGAACAAGTATGCCACGACAATCAATTGAATCAGAGATCATTCTCGCGCTAAATGCGCTTCAATCAGACCCTAAATTAAGCGTACGAAAGGCTGCATCGATATATAAGGTATCACGTACAACACTACAACAACGATACCACGGCCGCTCTGCGAAAGGCGATACCCGACCACGTAACCAGAAATTGACCTCGTACGAAGAGGACAGTATCGTACAATACGTAATCGACCTAGATTCGCGATCGTTTCCGCCGCGGCTTAGTGGTGTTCGAGAAATGGCGGATCGACTCCTCCGCGTACGCGACGCGCCACGCGTCGGAACGAACTGGGCCTCAAACTTCGTACGACGACGACCTGAGCTCCGTACGCGTTTAAATCGAAGAATCGACTACCAGAGGGTCCTCTGCGAGGATCCGGACGCGTATCGCGCGTGGTTTGAGCTCGTACAAAACATAATCGCGAAATACGGGATCCACGATGACGATATCTATAACTTCGACGAAACGGGCTTCGCGATAGGTAAAATCTCCGCCGAAACCGTCGTTACGACCTCCGATCGACGCGGGAGGCCAAGAGCCGTACAACAAGGGAATCAGGAATGGGTTACAGTAATCCAGGGCATCGCGTCGTACGGCTATTTAATCCCGCCGTATATCATCTTCGCCGGGAAGGTCCACCTCGACTCCTGGACCGCGAATAGCCCCCTACCGCCCGACTGGGTAATCGCGCTTTCAGAAAACGGTTGGACGACGAACGAGAGAGGCCTAGAATGGGTAAAACACTTCGATTTCCATACGAAGAGTCGTACGAAGGGTACCTACCGCCTCCTTATCCTCGACGGCCACGAGAGCCACCATTCAGTCGATTTCGAGCTCTACTGCAAGGAACAGAACATTGTGACGCTCTATATGCCTACTCACTCGTCGCATAAGCTCCAGCCTCTCGATGTTAGGTACTTTGGACCTCTGAAACGGGCGTACGGTAAAGAAATCGAAGGTCTAATGCGGGCGTACGTAACCCACGTTTCAAAGGAGGACTTCCTCCCAGCCTTTTATAAGGCGTACAACGCTGTAATGACTAAATCAAACATCCAGGCAGGCTTTAGAGCGACAGGCCTAGTACCGTACGACCCGAATTATGTGATTTCACAGCTAGATGTGAAGTTTCATACGCCGACACCGCCAGGTTCCTCTGCTGGACTACCACCCCCATGGGTTTCAAAGACGCCGAACAACCCAATTGAGACCGAATCGCAGACGAAATACATTGAAAATCGCATCGTACGACACCAGAATAGCTCACCGTCGTCCATTGTTGAGAGCGTACAGCAGCTGAGAAAAGGAGTCATAATGATGGTACACGAGCAGGACCTTATGCGCCAAGAGCTCGCCGAACTTCGAGATGCAAACGACCGCCTCAGCCGCCGTCGTCGTACGAAAAGAAAGCAGCTACAGAAAGGAGGGTCCCTCACGATTGATCAGGCAAAGGATTTGAAGGCTCAAATCGATGCGACGCAGCAGTTAATAGCGGAAACAAGTCAGAATAGTGGTCGTACGAGGAGGCCCGAAACGCGCGCGCGACGCTGTGGCGTCTGCGGGGAGCCCGGCCATAATGCGCGTACCTGTCAGAAAGTTGAGTCTACCTCTGAAGAAGAGGATTCTGAGTAGTTTGAATTGATTTGAGGCGTTGTGGTTGAATTGACTTATATATTGTCGTACGAGTACTGGGAGGGTGACCCGGTCGCTTGTGTGACCCGCTTGCTTGTGGATTACGTTATATACTCTCATCATTACTAAAACGGCTACTCTTAAGCGAAGGGCGGCGTTTATCTCAGTCATTGTGCAAAGATAAGTTCAAGCAAGCCACAAATGAATAATATTCACGTAGTAGTCACCTTACCTATGACGTGAGATGTCAGGCATTGGTCAGCGTAGCGACAGCAACCTTGATTTTGTCCTCCTCATCTACAACCATGAGACTCTGGAGCTCACTTGGCGCCGACAAAGTGTTGGAGAAACGACAAAACTAGTCTATGGTCTGCGACACAATGTTGCAGGACCGCTTCAGCGCCGAGGCCATTGGCTAGTATCGTCAGATCCTATCCGAGCTGCCGCGCCGCAACACTTTCGGTCCCTTGTTCAAAACGTGATGATCTATCCCGCTTAGACACATCTGGCCTTGATCGGGAAGACGGCCGGATAGCTGCTAGGCAGGACAACATAGACTGTGGCACGCCCCTGGCGAAGAGGCACGCACACATGAGTCCCACCCTCACGGACAGACACTAATAACGGATTTGGAAGCGCAACACTTGCAGTACTTTGGACACGTGGAGCTAAAGATGGACTCATACGGCAGGGCTACAACTAAGCTCCTGCTTAATCTACTCCCGACTTTCGGGCTAGATAATGTGAACCACCGCTTGCCGGGGGTGGCAGCAAAAGCTATTGGTAATGGCAGAAGTGCTCATATTGAAGGATGGTGCAGAAGGCGCCGTGGTGGATGTAACTGCCTAGAACCCTATGTGCGCGCTGTAACATTTGACAACGCCAGTCCGGAGTAGAGCCAGTCTGATTAGAGCAAGTGAGTAGTATCATGGCGTCGCCGAATGCACCATGAGATTGTCATTCATACTGATTTGCCATCCCCGATATTCTCTGTTCTTCCGTCTGCTACGTAAGTGGTGCCCAAGCCAGGCCGTCTAACCAGAGATCGAGTGGGGCTTTATTAAGATGCACTGACCGATCTGGACCCCGGAACTGGCCCTCAATCTGGAGTGACCACGAGAGATTTCTACGAAATTCGGATGTGAAGGAAGGCTAATTCATTCACGAACATCTCCTGAGCTAGCCGGTCGTCCCCTTTCAGCATTATCGACAGGTTACAGCCAGCTTGTACCATTTTGCCGTTTAACGGACTCGGATGCATCATGGTGTTATGGTGGGGCTGTCCGCATCGGCCATTCCATCTTTTCAGCGGGTGCGGTCAGCAACCGCCAGCGTTTTCAGTGTGCTGAAAGCCGTAGGCTTAGTCACGAAACAGGGGCTATCACTAATCAGGGTCAAGCCAATCAAGTATACGAACCATCTCAAAGAGAGCCGGAGCTGCAAGTTTGTTGATGCTACATACTGCAGTGGTGCATTCCACGCGAGCTGACCTGGTTGTTTGTTCTCCTCCACAAGGTACGACAAATATCATTCTCATAAGTACACAAATCCGAAGAGCTCCTTTGATTTCTAGCCATCACACCATTGTTTTTGTTCAGTGTGAGATGAAGCTATACCATCTCCGAGCTGGAAAGGTATCATCAAACCTATAAAAACATCTAGTCTAGAGGTCTCTCGTAGAATGACTTTGTCCCTGCTTCCACCCACAACCAGATATCGGGGTGGTCTGTGCGATAATACATAGCACTCAAGGAGCTGACGTACTTTACTATGGCCTTTCTCTTCTGGCGTAGACCGCGTCTCGATGGTCCGCTGATTGCCGACCGCAACGAGCTCATCGTTGACCGTCCGCTGCCTCCCTTCAAACCCGACTCCGACTTCATCCCTCCGCGGGGAGGATCAGCAGTAGTTCCAATACTGAAACGCGCCAAATCCAAGTCTGGCTACCGTGTTGCGCTTGTGGGACCTGCCGGCGTGGGGAAGTCGCAACTGGCTATTGAGCACTGTTGCCAAGCGAATGAGGTGTTCAGACTACCTTTGGTGTTTTGGATAGGCGCGGAGACGCGTGAACGTTTCCTGGGAGACGTCAGGTCCATCGCTGAGTTGCTTCACATTACAGATCATGGCACAACTGACCTGGAACGCGTCGCACAATGGCTTCTCGACCCGTCGAGTGGTCCCTGGTTCTTGGTTCTAGATGGTGTGTCCAGCGCCGACGTTCTCAGTTGTAGCGACGGCGATCCCAATACACCAGGCGATGACAGCGGCGCTCAGCGGAGGGATTTTGTGCACCTCCTCTCAAATGTGTCCCACGGTTCAATCTTGGTCACGACAAGAGATAAGGATACTGCAATGGCTCTAGGCATCAGATCCAGCGACATTGTGCCCGTGAGGGCAATGAGCGCAGGCGCGGCTGCGAAACTGCTGCTGAAAAAACTCGGCGACCAAAATCAGCAGAGCAAGCAGGATTATATGGAGTTGGTCAAAACACTGGAGTACAATCCACTCGCAATCCTGCAGGCGGCAGCGTACATACGCCGACGCCCCCAACCCATCTCAGTCAACGCGTACGAGCAAGAGCTGAAACGCAAAAAAACGTCTCTAGGAGCTTTTTTCCAAGAAGGAAGTTATCAGTTCCGACGAGACTGTAGTGCCTCCGACTATATCAAGGCCTGTTGGAGACCCGTCGTCGAGTTCCTCGAGCCGAGCCGCAAGGCCACAACGCCAGCAGCTTCTCTGCTCTGTTTCATGTCGTTCTTCGATCGCGATCACATTCCAAAATTGCTTGCTGAGTCTCAAAGGGGCGGAGCCGACGAGAGCGCGGTGCCCGAGTCTTCCCAGGGCCACCAGAGCCACCTCCAAACGATCGAGCCATCGCCACTGGGAGATGGAGACAATCAACGCTCCACCGACGCCCCCGAGGGGGCCGTGCAGGATCTGCTTGACGCGGGCTTCATCGCTGAGGGGGATCCCGGGGTGTTCTCAATGCACCAACTCGTGCAGCTGGCAGTAAGAGACTGGCTGAGGAACAACAGACATTTTGAGTACTTCCTATCGCAGTTCATATGCTGGATGAGTCGGAATTTCCCAGTGGGGCGCTATGAGAACCGAGACACGTGCAGACGCCTTAACCCACATGTTCAAGAGGTGGCCCGACATCGCCTGACGGATGCTGAACTGCTTAGAAAGCAGGCACAGGTGCTATGTTACGCCAGCCTGTACCAGCTAGAAATGGGCTATCCCGACCAAGCTATGGAGTTCGCCAACCAGTCTCTTAAAGCGATGAAGATGCACAAACCGGAAGACTACCTAGTTTTGGAGAGCAAACACTATCTCGGCAGAGCCCTACGCAACCTGGGCCATTACGAGGCGGCTGATGATACATTCTCTGAAGTACTGAAAACATGCAGTGCGCATCTCGGCCCCGATGATCCTATGTTGCTGAGCATTCGCGAGGACCACGCGATGAACTTGGAGTCTCTTGGGAGACTGGACGAGGCAGTAATGCGGATCGACCAGGTCCGGGCGGATCGGAACAAATACGGTGGGCCTGCAAATGCCCATCCCGCGGACATCATTGGCTGTGATGCGAATCAGGCCACACTCCTCCGATTACGCAACGATCTAGAGGGCGCTGAGCAGCTGTACCTGAGCATTCTGCAACAAGCTAGAGAGAGTTCTCTCGACCAAAACCATCCAGACATCCTAGCAATCAAGTGCGAGCTGGCCACTGTGTATCGAGACCAAGGAAAATTCCAGGCAGCAGAAGGGGAGTTTTCAAAACTGCTTTCAGTATGCACTATAACACTCGGCAGAAATCATTCTCTCACCCTTAATTGTAAGGCAAACCTGGTAACAACATACTTACACTTGAAGGAGTGCGCAAAGGCGGAAGAGCTGGGCGTCGAAGTAGCTCAGCTTCGCCAGTCCAGACTCGGCAAATCACACGCTGACACCCTCAGGAGTAAGTTAAACCTCGCCAGTGCATACTATTTACAGGACATGTGGGAAGATGCAAGAAGATTACAGGTCTCTGTGATGGAAACGTCCAAGCAGAACTTTAAAATCAGTGATCTCATCGGGGATAGTATGGAGGATTTGGCCATCACAGAGAATTGCATGGGCCATAAGACTAGCGCCATCATCCTCCTACAAGGCTCTGTCACAGTCCGCTCCATGCAACCAGGCTCGAGAAAAGAAGACACGACTTGGGCTCGGAACGTTTTGCCTGAGTGGTACCGTGAGCTATTGGAAGCAGGTCGCCAGCGGGCGCAGAGGAAAAGAGCACATCATGCAGGAGGCAGGCCGAAGCGAATAAAATTGACAGAAGAGAAATGATCCTTCTACCATAGACAACCATTCTTCGACGATAAGAGAGGTTATTTTCATATTAGCCAGGCAGAACCCGGCCGACTGAATGTGTAAGAGTGACAGCTAAGGGAAAGGAGTCCCTTGGCTTTATGGTCGCTACGCTTACAATTACACTTCGGACAGCATATAAAACTACTGCACAGGAGCCGGAGCTTATACTTCTTGGCCGTTTCCGATGTCGGGGTTTTCGAGATACAGCGCCCCGGTGTCAGAGCGATTACAGCAGCACAAGATAGGTGCCCAGAATTCTATCACTTTCGGAACTACCTGTGAGAATCGGTAAAGAATACCTTCTACAAAAGTGATTCCGGTCCCTTGCTCTTCCACCCTCATTACTCATCTGTAGCGAGAGTCGCTTTCGATGGAACTCAAAGCCGGTAACTATGAGGTCCCGATAGTTGTCTAGCCTTTTGTATGCAAAGTAAAATGCTTCATTCATGGCAGCGCAATCCTGCCGCTCTTGGAAGTCTGAGTCTACCACCTAAGGCACGAACTTGCAGGTGTCCTACGCTGGCTTCTGAGCGCCGAGAGGCGCGCCAAAGTGCAGGCAGAACGATCAGTGAGAGCCATAGAATTCAGTATACCGAACCGTTTCACGCCTTTTCGCCGAAGGCAAAGAACGGCCCTAGGTTAATAGCCATTACGCAACCGGAACGATTAATCAGATGTCTGAGAATGACTGCAAGACGTACTCCAATTAACCATTGGGCAAGACCGCAAGCTACCTCCATCGGAGAACAGTTGGAGTCACAACGGTCGAATATACAGGCCTTGCATTCGCTTACCTGTTTATTGAGTTCGCATTGCCAGGCCGACAACGCATCTCTTGAATCGGGTAGTATAGGATGCGTTGACGATTCAATATTGATGTTCAATCATGACAAACAGTCTCAAGACTGATTACATCAATCATTCATCCTTCATCGTCGTGCAATATTTAAAATCCATCCAGAGCACACACTTGACACATCAGAACAATGGTATCAACTAGAAGTCAAACACGTTCCCAGAAAGGGACTCGGACTCAATTCCAGGGCGGCGCTACGAAAGTGATGAATGCTGTAGAGGGAGAGCCAGTTGCGAGGTCCAGACGTAGTACCAAGATTGAAAGAGCTACGACCACTGCGAATAGCGAGAGAGAAAAGAAGGCTACGAAGGGGAGATTTACTGCCAAACTTGACAAGCTAGAGAATGCTAGGAATAGCAAAGGATGTCAAAGCACGCCTACTTGCACAATGCGCGACGCTGCTAGTGACGTAAGGTAACATGGTATACAATCTCCATGGCAATAGACAGATGGGTCATCCAGTCCCGATGTCCTGATTATGCAGAAAAACGCGATACGCCATGGAATTGGCTGCAGCGGCAGAAAGAGTGGGCAGGGCGTCAACCCGAAGCGTCCAGATTCCAGCGCTATTATGATGCGATTGTGCAAAACAGATTCAGTAAAGTGGAAAGAGACTTCGAGGAAGAACTTGAACGGATAGAGAATCAGCAACAAAAATATCGAGATGCAGGAATACAAATTCTCACCACTGAGGTCACAACACTTAAAAATCCCGAAACGACCAAAGATTCACAAAGGATAAGTCAGGTCGACAGTGAATGGTTTTGGGAACCGGGGTGGTCCTTGGCGAAAGCAACCGAGAGTTGGAAAGCTAAAGGACTGCAGGATGAACTCATTAGTGACTTTCAACGGGATGGGTGGATATATCAGCAGTTTTTGGTCTGCCTTATCGCCTATATAAGCCAACAAGACTTCAAGTCTTCAAGGAGTCCCTTGCTGTTTGTTCGTTGTCAAATGTGGAAGAAGCCTATAGATCAACTCGTTCCTATTGAAAAGCTCGGTTACGACTACGTGAACAAATTCTCCAACAACATCGATACCCGCGTAACCTACAAACCCTCTAGGCTCGGTTACGACTACGTGTATAACTTCTTCAACAACATCGATACCCGCGTAACCTACAAACCCTCTAAGCTGCGCAGCATGGAGTGGACCTGGAGCAATGGGAGTTGGGCGTGGAACGCGTATATTGACAGTAATGGTAGGAACTCTCTAGTGAACCCTGATGCTGTTTTGTTCGAGAATGGAGCAAAATTACATGTAGATGATCTCGACAATGGGGGTAAAGCTGTCATTGAGCTTCCTCCTAACGCAACGGTCTACGAAGTCATTTGCCAGATTAATTCTTTCTATACTACGGAAATCGAAGCGCCAAAGGGACTGGACGAAGCAGGTCGCTACTATAGTCCTCGTTGGGAACGCCATCCTGTAGAAGTGGGTGGCTTTAAGAAACATAGAAGTAAACTAGATGGAGAGGAATATTGGGAATTAGAGGACGTTTAGAACAGCAACTGAGTCATTCCTATGATTTTTTCCTGGTGTATCATACGGTAAGGGAAGGCAGCCCGCGATATGGCGCAGAGGCTACTGTGCGAGCTCGGAGACACTTCGCCGGTTGATTGACCCTGCGCGGGCTATCCGTCCGTACATACCTACACGAACTGGAACAAAACAAGGCATCGAGACTTGCTCTCTTTGAATGGCAAAGCTGTAATACACAACGGGACCGCAGCGCCTCAGACTTCATCCTAGCCCACCGGGAGCACGTTAAGGAGCACGTTAAGCAAATACCATCTTCTGCGGAGAAACATCTCTGTCGTTCAGCTCTTGTTGCCGCAGGCAAGCCAGACGTTCCCACGGTGCCGAAAACCGTGCAACTGGCTGTACGATACTTGCTGGAGACTGATGGAGGCTCTGGGAACTTCATTCGGCGATTCATATCTTGGATGAGTGACATGTTCCCAGAAGCGTACTACGAGCACTGGGATACGTGCCATCACCTATACCCTCTTGTCAAAATCATGGCCGAACACCGCCCGACGGATAATACGTTACTCACAGGGTGGGCATTAGTGCTTTGTCGTTGCAGTCGATATGCCAGGGAACAAGTCTGGCTCGATGAGGCCCTTCCACTGGCAACAAAGTCACACAACGCCGCGCTACAGGTGTACCCACCGATACACGAACTGTGTTTGGAGAGCAAACAGTATGTTGGCAGAATCCTGCGTGACCAAGGCCTCGACGAGGAAGCGGAAACGATATTCTCTGATCTGTGGACCATGTGCAAGGAGCACTCCATTTCGAAACATCCCCTGGCCCTAACCATTGGTGAAGACCGGGCGTTCATGCATTCGTGCTTGGGAGAACCAGAGGCCGGCCTAGAGCTGATACAACATATCGTCCACGTCCGGGAAGAGTGCGAAGGGCCCGAAGGAGCCCACCCTACTGACGTGGTCGGCTCTTATTCGAATAAGGGTATGCTACTTCGGGAGTGCGGCAAACTACCGGATGCTGTGGAGGTGTTTAAAAATGCCATAAAAAGATCAGTGCAATTCAGGATCCCTCGTAATCATCCTGACATGCTGATCTTTCAAATCGAGCTGGCCACAACATATCGAAAGCAAGGGAAAAAGAAGCTCAGTGCAGCAGTAGCGCTTCTCAAGAAAGCGCTCGCTAGGTACGAGAAGACATTCGGCCGCGGGCACAGTCTTACCGTCGACTGTATGGCAGAAATTGGAACAACATACCTACACTGGAAAAGATGGGCCGATGCGGAAAAAATCTACATCAATGTAGTAAAGTACCACGAAACAAATCCCGGCAACAATCAATCTAGGCTCCTTCAAGCCAAATTGAATCTGGCTTGTGCATATGACGGGCTGGAGGAGTTTGAAAAGGCAGAAAATCAACAAAGGGCCGTAATGAGGAGGTCCAAGGAAATGTTTGGAGAGAGTCATCTCCTCACGGCACAGAGTATGGACGATTTGGCCTTTTTGAGGCAGAAATCGGGTGATTATACCGAAGCTTTGGATCTGATGCGGAAGTGCCTGGCAGTCCGCCAGCAGCTGTTGGGTGCGGAGCATGAGGACACAATATTCGCTCAGGATGCACTAACCACATGGAGTGAGAAGTATGCGGCAAGGGGTGGAAGTTCCAAGCGTACCCAGACGGCAGGCAATCAGTCAGAGGAGCGATGGAAAAGAGAAGGAAGTAACAGTTCTGTTTTATCTATTACCGTTCACAGACGATGCTGCGTTGAGGGGTGAATTAGTCAGTTTGGCGTTATTTCATAAGTCGGTTCTTTCGCGATAGTAGAGATACGCAAGAAGTTACCACTGTGTGGTGTGCAGTAGGTTTAAGCTCGGGTATCACGATGTGTTGTGTGCAGCTACTCTATTATTCTCAAGATGTTTCATAATAGTATCCCATACATAATTGCGCCAACTATCTGTGGTACATATGCGAGTCGACCGGGTGGGAGTAGCACTTGATATAGCTGCGATGTTGTGCTAGGTTATGAGGCGATTACCTGATAGTATATTGGGAAGTTGTAAGAAGGCCTGCTAGGTGTGTGAACGTGGCTATTAAAACTAAGACATGGAAAATCTGATGGCTGGCTCCGATAAGGTCGAACCTATATGGAAACCATCTCTCGGGGATCTGCAACTAGGATGTTAATTTTTGGTCACAGGTAAGGAATCGTAGGCGACATACCCTCGAGGCATAGACAGCTGCGGCGATGAGATTAAGCAACATCGTACAAGCCAGCCACCCAAGGGATATATGATTTCCCAGAACGGCCCAGCCCTTGATTTGAAGGCCATGCAACAGCGATGCGAGCGACCCCAAGCCGGATGTGCTATAGACAAGTACACGCCATTTTCTGAAGGCAGAAAAGCCAAAGCCATGGCCAAAGATGAGCCCCAAAGTTATTACAGCCGTAATGAGATTCTTAAAAACAAACAGTAGTCAGAGGCGCTCATAGGAACTGCGGGTAAGAATAACATACAGTCGAGCTGTAGAACCTCTGCAGGTCCGGGAGGCCGGCCAGTCCGTAATGAACCACGGGTGCATTAGCACTCCAGACAAGGACCACGATGCCTAAATAATCAAGTCGATTACAGGACTGGGCCCAACTGCGACTATGATTGGACAAGGAGTGGAATATGTTCTCAACGTCAATACAATAATCTTCTGGAGAAATCGAGCAACGGGCTTACATGGCGGAGCATAAGAAACAAAAGGCCACTCCGAAGCAGTAACGCGATACCGTAGGATGATGCATATGATGAAGAAAGAAAGGAATTATGGTGAATGCGATACAGCCAGACATATGTGAAACGATGTTCACAGTCTCGTTATGCAGATACAGAACGCTGCGTAGTGACCTGTACAAAGACCCGGAGATTGGCCTGCAACAAAATCAGCCATGCATTAACCCAGCTTTCAAGCGCACGTACCGATATCCAGATAGTATGAAATCATTATCCTGTTGCCATGATGGAATCGCATGGTATAACATGAGGCTTTTGGACGACAGATGGTCCTGTATACGGTTTGCTTTCCCAACAGGTGACATTATCAGTATGTCAGCGGGCAAAGTCTTAATCGTTGCGGCATCGTAAGCAAGAGTAGGGCGAGCAAGTATGGCGAACGTAACGACTTGGAGCTACAGATTCACCTTTTATACCTGTTAGTGGAGCAATCATTGTTTGTCATGATTAACCTGGTTGTTTGTCCCTTCCATAGAGTACGACAAGCATTTTTCGTGTTATCCACTATATGATTCCACTCCGGACTTCGGCCATACTCAAGAGCCAGGCACCTGGGCTATCAAACGGCGTTCTCTTTTAGGCGATGGTGGCATCTAGTGGGGATATGATGTATAGGTTGATCTACCCACTCGCTACGCGAGGCGCCTTGAAGAGACGAGGAAGAGTGAGGCTGCACGTGATAGGTGATTGGAAACCCACCTGTGCCCACGAAACTTCGCGTTGAGAGGCAGGCACGGCCTGGGGAGGAAGGCGCGCGGTAGACTGGCGGCCTGGTGGCAGGTCTGAGACATGTCGATCCTCCCCAGGGCCGGATTGTGTCCATGCCCGAGTCAGGTACGAGCCATATTGATGTCGCTCTGAGGCCAGGCCCCAGCGGGCTGGCGGCTCCTGCTGCCCAACCTGGCCGGCCGCACGTCACGGGCTGGGGGAAAGAGATCTATTTAGGCCAACCACGTCGTCGTCATAACAATATGCCCTTGTTCCTCGCAATTGCTTGCCTTATGTGGGCTATGCCCTGCCTTCGTACTATTATGCCGTGGTACACCTTGCTGGGTGTTGTGGTGCATCATACGCAGCGCATCGTTGACCAAATTCACTTACACAGCCGCGGTGATCGCCGGCTGACCAGCGCGTGCAACTACGTGCCGTATGACCTAAATGGACTGCGTGCGGTCCAAGATGAGGAGGATGCCACCGTAGGTGCTCAAGAGATATGACGAGCCCGCAATTGTGGACGAGGTGTGGTTCTCCACGTCCGGAGCCATCATAGAACCCCGACAATTGACAGGAAAGGCCTGTTTCAACCATTACAGCTGCATGCTCACGACAAGTTGTAAGGTGCGCTCCGCCGAAGTGTACTCTTCTGATTTCGGACAACGATAACGTTACGGCCCAAGACTGGGCTAATGCCCTGGCCCGCCAATTGCTCCGGAACGACTGGAGTATTTAATGAAATGAAATCTCCAACCGTGACGGCAGGTTCGCGTCCGCCTTCTCGCGCAACTTTTGGAAGACTCTCACGGGAGGGGAAAGCAACTGACAGATAATTAGCGGGAAGCGCGATGTACGCGTCATATTACCAGCCCAGGGCAGGTGAGGGCAGAGGAGAGTGAAAGTGAGGCGCGGGGGGCTCGAACTGCGATGCCACGTCAAGGTTCCTTATAAAACTGTACGCGAGAGACCTCGTTTGGAAACAGCCCCGAGAATAATGGGCATGGACAGCCGATACAATACCATAGTAGACCGCAGGGCAGCAAGGTGCGACTGCAGTGTTGGCAGGCAAGGCAGCGCTCGCGGTAGTGGTTCGTAGAATCGCCAGCAGCGGGCCAAGTTACCACGCATGTAAGGGCGGGGCTGGGGGGCCGGACAGTAGAGGGTGGTCGAGACTGAGAGGCCCACTTAGAGGCCAAAATGGCGACCGAAGGACGCGGAGCGGGGCCGGACAATCGGCCATGAGCCCGGCGTCACTTTGACTCCAGAGGGATTGGAGCGTGAGTATAACACTCGGCATGGTCGACTGCATTTGGTGGTGCCTTGATTGAGAATCTGGCTGTAGGTCGTTGTAGTGGTGGCCCGTATGACGGGGCACACACGCAAAGCAGAGATGGTCGGGCAGGATTCCTCCGCCACCACGATTTTGGAGGTGGTGTTGCGCTGGTTGGTGCCTGCAGAGAGCGAGGACAGTGGCCAGTCCATTGTCGACGAGCTGCGGCTTGTCAAATTGCTAGAAGGCGCTGTCTGCCTGCCTGCCCAAGCACGAGGTGATTCCACGCGGTGCGCCGGTCGGCGGCCCACACCCTGGATCGCTGGGTCGCCGCTGCACGCGGGCCTCACCGCCGCGCGCCGCTCCGTCTCAATCATGGCGCCTGTCAAATCGCAACAACGTCTGCGCTCTCGTCGCTCCCTCACAATCAGCTCGAATTTGCTCCTGTTCCAAGCCGTGCGCGCATCGGCGCCTGCGCGTCAGTCAGTACCTCGGGCCGCATCTCCCGCCCATTCCCAGCCCACACACCTCTGCGAGCTTTTCCTCGCCTGCGCCGCGCAAAGCAGCCGACATCCATCCTCTTTGCCTGCTGCACGTCTCACATCATCGTGGGCAGCATCCCTTCTTTTTGCCGCTTGATAAAGATAGGATCCCTTGCCGCGTGTGCCCCGCCAGCATAGTTCTCTGGCTGCCGATCTTGTAGTAGCTCCTGCTGCGCCATCCGCATAGCACTTCCAACCTTGTCCTCCAACGCTGCGCGCAACTCCAACGAGGCGCTTTGTCGCAGCCTTTCCGCTGCTGCCTGGGCCTACTTGCTCTATTTTCTCTTACGAAAGATCGCGCTGAGCTTCAACCATTGGAACTCCATCGTCGGCTACTGCTCATCCGTCCACACGTCCCGGACACGTGGCTTGCATCCCACACGCAAATATCGACATAGCAACCAGGTAACGCTCTTGCCAAAGGAGCACGCCAATCTTCAAGGTTCGAACAACATACGATTCTGTAGCAATGGCCACCACTCGCAAGCGGCCTCGGCAGGAAGATTCCACCGACAACATAGCCGAGTGCCCCTTCACTGTCATACATCCGGATCCCAATGAGAAGAAGAATACAAAGCACGGCTGTGGCGGCTCAGAGGATCGGCCCGCGCCTCCGCCGAAAATCCATCTCCAGGTCTCGCCATTCTCTCCAATCGGCAAGTTCAATGCCAAGGATAACACCATGGACCGCCACTACCAGGTCCCTCCGTTTGCCGAGTGGATGGAAATGGCCAGATATAACAGCTTCGTTTGTACCTGCCCCCACACCACCCGTCTTTGTCTCCATCTGCCCAATGATGTCTGCTACAGTACATCGTCTTTCAGCAATGCGTGCCTCCATACTGACATAGTGATGCGTAGTAAATGGTGTCAAGTACCACAGCGAAGGCTTCGTCTTCGTCGCAAATGACAACAGTATTGAGCGCCAGAAGAACCCCGGCGAGTCCCGCCAACCTAGAAAGAAGTCGGATGACGACTGGGTCGCAAGGATTCTCGAAATTCGCGCCGCGGACGAGCATCACGTGTATGCGCGCGTCTACTGGATGTACTGGCCTGACGAGCTGCCGGCAGGCACGACAGATGGAAAGCGGGCCATCAAGGGCAGACAGCCGTATCATGGCAATAACGAGCTCATCGCCTCTAATCACAGTTCAGTCATCCCGCGTGCACAAATGGGGTACGTGAATGGACTACTGACATCGCCTTCGTTAGTGGACGTCATCAACGTGGTCGCTGTCACGGCGAGCGCAACTGTTCATCAGTGGGATGAGACAAATGAAGATGAAGTACAACCAGCTCTGTACTGGCGCCAAGCCTTTGACGTGCGAACCATGGACCTCTCGGTATGCCATCCACATTTCGCCCTGGACTCTGGGAATTATCCGTGCCGTCGAGACTATGCTAACTCGTATATTGGAATTAGTCCGCTGAAGGACGGTGCTACTGTAACTGTCCTGAAAACCCCGACAAGAAGCTCATTTGCTGCACTAACGGGAAGTGCCGCAAGTGGCTGCACGACGATTGCCTGGTCCACAAAGCTCTACTGCGCACTTTCGCCCGCCTCGGAACCGACAAACCTCACCAGCCGGCGCCCGTCAAGGACGAGCAAGATAATGAGACTGGCCGCGTGTGCCCGTCACCCAGCGAGTTCGGAGCAGTACCAACGGCCGAACCCTCTGTTGATGTGAAGCCCGGGGAGCCAAACACCGCCGAGATGGCTGATGTCGCAAAAGTGCTTCCCATTATCCAGGCGGAGAGCACGGGTCAGGCGCCAGAACCGAGAAAGAGAGGCCGCGGCCGCAAGCCGGATGCCCAGAAGGCGAAATCATACGACGGTTATTTCTCCGCCATCATTAGAGATAACGTCAGTCCGCCAGTTGTCGAGATTACTGATCTGCGGGAAGAAGTGACCGGTGGACTCAAGGAGTGGACAGAGCCTCTGGATTGCCTTGTTTGTGGCCAGCAAATCCACTAAACCAGGAAACTCTCGCATCTGTTTGCGGAGTTTTGCTGGAGGCATAGACGACAAGGCCGTAAAGGTCTGTGGACCAGACGATCGGTAGATGAGATCTCGCAGGTTCGCCAACTTGTCGGGCAAGAAGGAAGCCAACCGTCTTAGTCTACCTAGAGACGCTTCGTAGCATGCGTAGTTAATGATCCCAGACCTAACTCCTGTCTGATTTCACCCCGTAATCGAGTTAATTTGCAGGGTCTCACATGTATGCAGTGTCAACCATGCACACCACGACGTTGTTCTTACTTCCACGTAGGTTATGCTAGCTTAGAGCATTAATCAACTCCATGGGTTGCGAAGTTGTTTGCTTGCCAGCAGACAAGATATCCATTGAGTTTGTTATTTCGGAAGTGGAGGTTCGAACAGGTGCCTGCCAGGCTAGGCTGACCTCGCCGCCGCGTCCAGTGCGACGAAGACATGTGCAAGTGGGCATGGCCGCCAGGCCACGTGGTAGACGCTAAAGCCGCGTAACCCTCGGAAGCATTGACCCGTCATGCAAGGCAGTTCGAGGTCGCGGAGACCGCAGCCCAGCCATCGGTCCTCCTGGTCGAAAGTCTCTAGTGCTTCTTCTTAGCGATGTAGCCAGGCCATAGTATAGAACAACCTTCCTACCTGTTTTCTGCGTCCAGAATTGTGTCAGAGTTGGCGACTTGAACCTGGACAGGCCCAGTCGCGGCCGAGCTATGAGAGCTTCGTGTGAAATAAAGGGCACGTCGCTTATTGCACCATTACTCGATTAGGGCCTATCGTATGGCGACCGCATTATTCCAACTGCGCAACATGTTTGCACGCGCAGAAACCTCGTCGGATTGGCGCAGGCATACCGTCTGGCTTCCTACCTAGCCCAACCGCCAGTGGGACTAACAACGTCGATGTCATCGTCGGCATCGTCGCCGGCAGGAGCATTTACAAAGTGATAATGCAGAGGGAAGGAAAGGTGAAAACGGTGACCGCAACAACGATTCCCGCCGAAAGCCAGCAGCTCCACCAGGTGATCCCGATAGTAGAATGATGGATGACGGACGTCGTACATATCACAACGTCCGCGACTTGCATGACTGATTTCTCCCCGTGAAAGGATAGCATAAACAGTTTTCCTCTATTTTGTTTCTTCGTAGTAGGATGCGCGATTTTTCGAGGTCTTCTGATTATCTATTTGACTACCTACTACGTGCTACAGCTAGCTCTTGCGTACAATAATGTGCTGCCGTACTCCTCCCCATCCTCAACATGTTGCTCTCCAAACTTGCGACACCCTGGCATCTGGAATTCCCGTTGACCTGATCTTCATTGAGCCTAAATTTGAGGCGTGTCTGGAACAAGCGGTTCCCATCGCCCGGAGTGAAACACGCAGCAATATGATGCTTTTGAGAAATACACTACAAAATGTGGTTTATGTGTGGACTCATTATTTTGCAAGTGGCCACAGCCTAGCCCGCCTCCATTGCGCCTTTAAGCCTCGGAGTCGAATGATTCGTCTGAGGAAGGTACCATGTGAACGACTCTTAAAGCTTCCCAGTCTGAATTTCTTCATAGACGTGTACTGTCGAAAAGAGATACTCCGAGTAGGGAATTTCATAGGCACGCCAGGCTGGTCTTTATTGTGCACATACTGGGTCTTGCCTTCAATATAGGAAAGGCCGTTACGATCATCCGAAAACTTGATAGCTCTAATGTATGACTCCTTTTTGGGAATGGTCTTATCCGACTTAAACGTGATTCGTACCATACCATCCCGCAAACGTTTGGCCTCAAAATTTTCATTATACACCGGTCGCGCTGATTGACATAGCTTGAATGTTTTGGACAGTAGACGGGGCCATGACTGATCTTAATGAGTATTGAGTACATTTTCTCGCGGGCAACGAGGCCGAACTTATAGTCGAAGACCTTAAGTAAGGCATGACAAATTGCTTCAATGATGGAAGGTACAGTGCTTCTTATTATGACCAATTGATGACGCCAAGATCTCCATGAGAAATGACCATCTTTCATAGCACCAGGGGGTTTGGGAAGGGGGGAGACTAATCGTCGCATAATAGATCCTGGTGACCGACGTTACCCTTGGCGGCCTACTGTATAGCTACTCCAATGCTTATCTACAGTTGAGTCACAGCTTGTAGATCAGTTGCATATGTCCGGACACTGAGTAATTCCCACCGGAGCCCCGACCTTGCAGTGTTCTAGTAGCCATAGAGGTGATCGACCCCAGTCCTGGATTTCCCAGATAGGTTTCATAGGGTCTCTGATCCGTCTTCGGTGATCCCCCAGATTGCTCAACTTAGACCACTGCGTGGTTTTCTTCTGTATATTTGTTTCATCCCGTTATGTCGAACTGTCTAAAAGATGGATATTCCATTATAGCAAGTTCGAAAAATTATAACTAAGTTAACTTAACTTAACAATGCCCAGGTAATCCTGAACCAAATGAGACACTGAGCAGGGGCAAGGTGAGACTCCCTTCGGTCACGGAAAGGACAACCACCCAATGACTAAGGTGAGTTCATCGCCTGCCAATTTCGGTGGTATTACTAGCGAGGCTCACTTAGGCGGGACACCTAAGTGAGCAATTCCCAGATGTAGAGATAGCGATGGTTTTGATGGGGGAGCCAGCAACGACAGCATGCAAGGGGGTGTCGCTGCACATATGAGGGATTGCCTGATCAGGGCATTGTCAAGCGAATGCAGCACTGTTCTGGATGTCAAGTTGCAAAACTGAAGATGTGGCGAAACCTGCTTGCATTGGTGGTGTGTATCTGGGTGTCTATGGAAAAGATCACGAAATTCTGGCTTATGAAGTACTGTCCTGGAATACCAGGCCCCTGACTAGACTGCCCCTGCCCTAACATACCACCTTCCGTCATTTCCTCACTGCGCTGTCTACTAACGCGTTTTCTCGGGTAAAAATGTACGATAATTTTCATCACTATATACTATATCCCATGCAACCCATCCACTACAACGAGCAGGCCAACCTGCACTCAGCATTGGACCTCGTACATGGAAGGCAGCATTGTACAATATGTTATCGAACTAGTCTTGCGATCATTTCCACCGCCGCTGAGTGTCGCAGTCTTTCGCTAGCCTCAGGATATCACTGACCGAGGATATAGTACGTGGAATCTCTGCTCAGGGCGACACCTAGAATGTCATGCACTGAGAGTGACTGCGAGAGTGCTTTACACTAGAACATCGTTTATTTGCCTGCCGCTTTATACATATATATTGCGAATCTCACCTCCTAGCGGTCTGGGTGGTTGTACGATGTGACCATTTGGGATGCTACTCCCTATCGTTTTGTACAAGAGATACTGCCCCCCCCACCTCCTTCCGCCACGAGTGTGCCAGCGTATCGCGGCTGGGGCGCAGAGCCTCTGTGACAATTGAGAGACCAATCTCTCATCTTGAGTACTCCATCTTTGTGGAAGTACGCGACAACAAGCACCTAGTGAATAGGATAGTGCCATAGAACGATCGCGGTTAGAACATATGCAGATATGAGCATTGACCCCTCGATCCAGAATGCCTTGCCAGAGTGCAACACGTAGTTGACTAGTAAGACCGCAATGGCAAGCATGATTGCTTGGAAAGTATCAAAGGCTAGCACGGAGGTCGATGAAATCAGAACGCCGGTAAGTACCGCAATGGGGAACGCGAAGAGCGAAACCCTAATGCTTGATACCACTGCCGTATCGATAAGCCAGCTAATATCCTGATTCTTTGTCTTAGTGATGATCGTTACCTGGTCGATGATTCCCAGCGCCAGTGGTATGACAATCAACTCAAGGAAATCGATAGAGATCGTTTGTAGCTCACGAGCGGCTAAAACCCTCTATAAGAAAATAGGACGACGCGACGGCTGCGGAATAGCTCAGAACTATTCCAGCGATAGAAATTGAATATGGCAAACGAGACATATGCGCGTTTTTCTCCTTCTGTTGATTACGCCACTGTCCCAGGCCCTCGTACTTGATCGGGAGGGAAGAGCTCCCAATAGCTAACAGCACATGGGCCGGGAACATCACTGCTTCTTGAAAAGTATCAGAGACAGGGACACTGGAAGTTTTGTGTACTTGGAAGACCACAAGATGTATAGGACGAACTGTGCAATCAGGACCCAGGCTACAGCGTGAGATATGTTAGCAGGCTCTCGTATATTATCTAATTGAGTGTCAGCTAGTTTCCTAGATGTGCGATTTCTAGTCTTAATCAGGGCAGTCTCACCTTGCCAACCTACTATAGTAGGACGATAATACTCATTAAGCTGACTACGAGCATCTGAGAATTAAGACGTGCCATTGTGGAGGAAATTCTTGGTACGAGTGGTGGAAACCTCCGCTTATGAAGCACATGCCCATGATAACGAGGAGGTTCCCTAGAAGCACTCCCACGAGTGCGTTTTGTGCTACTAAAGGCTTCCCCTTCAGTACTGCAATAGTCGCAAAGGAGAGATCAATTGAGTTTCTAGAAGTCTCTTTAGTATATTTGCGATACAAACGATGGGAAACACTAACCCCAGAACTCCATTCAGTAACAGACTCAGGAACTCATGATTAGCTTTTTGAAGTTTCCAGACAAGCTCTCTAAGTAGGTGCTGGAAAGTGCTTGTTAGAGGTATTAGAGTAACGAGCGAAATAAGAAAATGTGCCAGGGGATCCATAAAGCAAGTTCCGAGAAAGAACGCAAGCGATGAACGACAGAAGACCCGTATGGAGCATGCTAGTAGTTTCCGGGACGGCCCAGAAGCCATAAACTTCTTGTAGTGCTTTGCTTCATACAATAAGAACCAGGTTCAGCCTTCACGTTATCAGCCTATCTTATTTGTGGGGAAGGTTCTAAGCAGGTGGAACACAGTGTGAAGACCTGCCACACGTCAGCATTTTCCGCATGCAGCATTAAAAGAGCAAACAAAATGGAGGCATTCCATGTGACTCGTTGTTTTGTGGGGTCACTGAATTCTCTCATCGCCCTTGTAATGGCTCCAAACAAGTCCGGAATATATAAATTGTCGGGTCCGTCTCTCTCTAAAGCACATGAGCGCAGCGACAAAGTCTTCGTGAATAGATATCATATTGGAACACCAGGCCAGCGCTCAACAGCCGCATTTGATCATTTCTCCCTGACTGTAAGATCTATTTTGGGATCTTCTAGAATTTCCAAGGTAATGGCTCCATTCTTATCCCCACTTCTCAGCCCCGCTATTCGAGCCGCAGGTCACACTCCCCGTTGGGCGCCCGCACCCACCCATCCCTTTACCCTCTCTCTCTCCTTTCTCCTCTCCCCCTCCGAGTCACCTTTTTGGCCCCCTGAAGATTCATGCAGCTATGAATCCCGATAGCCCTCTACTTGACAGCCACGATGACCTCGTCTTTGGCTCAGCACACCTAGCGTTCGTCTGGAATGCCAGGAAGATCACAGGCAGCAATAGCCGGGCTGATCAGGCGTCGACCGCCCCATCCCATCTACGCTTGCCTACACCGTTGACTTCAAGATGCCGACTGCGTAAGGGAGACTAATGAAAGATTGCAGATAAACTATAGATAATATTAAAAGTTGCCCCGGATCTCTGCTGGGGGAAACCTTGCGCTTCAAGCTTGCCAACAAAGCCAAACGAAAAGGTCTGCCCCGCATGCCCGAATACGAACATCGGAGACGATCATCACCGTATCTACTTCCAGACGAGGCGAACCCCCATTCAAACCACCACCCTTAGGATCCGACATCGACTGGAGATATGAGATAAGCTCGGTCGGGAGTGACCCAGACAGCCACAAGCTCAGAATGAATCCCTTGAATCTATGGAGTCCTTCAAGGTCTGACCGAGACAGGTAGGCCGCGGTGCCCACGAAAAAGCAAACCGCCTGCATGAATAAACTTTTGCAGGGGCAACAGGCAGCCGGTACGGTTCGCAGGTGCGTCTGGCAAGAAGTGTAATCAGCTCTTCTCTTGCACCAGCTCCTCGTGTACAAACGTCGGGTTTTATTGTGGAATTCAGAACGGAAAACATTATAAGCTGGACGACAAGACTTCTAGACCAGCTCATCGATCACGCGTAAAGCCATGGCCTGAAGACGCATGCGGATTCCCTATAGAATTCGCGAGCAGCCATCGCACGGGCTGAAGAAGCAATGCAACGCAAGAAGCGGAGAGCTACTGCAGTGGAACTTGATCCTTGCAGCACCAACTGCCGGGGATGCAATGCCGACGTCCGCCATATCGCCTAAACCTGCCCATGCCCCAAATGAGCCATCCAATCGTTCAGGATTGGCTAAGTGAAAAGACCACTAACGATGATTGGAAGGAGGCCTATCAGGCCACTGCTGCAACCAGCCGCTGAAGCTGGCTATGATTTGGAATGGCTGCACAACAACAAGACCATCGGTGTCTGGGATATCAAAGAGAACGGAATCATGCCAGGGATAGCGGAGCAGTTGTGCACAAGATAGACTTTGGGTAGACGCAATCAACACAGAGTAAGCTTCGAAGATTGAGTGATGATAGAGACTACTCCGGAGATGTTCCACGTGATACCCGGCGTTGGCGAAAATGGCCCTCAGCACCTTCGCTTCGGGCAACCCACCGCCCTGACGCAGACTTCGTGTAGATTCAAAATCTCTCCGGATCAATTCGGAAATTCTGGTGTGCTTCAAGTGTCTGACCTTCCGCAGAACTCTACGATGGATCAGGCGCGGGGTTATGGCGGGGTAAAGTCTAATAAGAACGCCAGCCTCTGCCGCCATCTGCTGTACCCTTCTGATAGTGAAATCCAACGTTATCCAATAACACAGCCCGGTTCGGGCCATCTGCTGCAGTGGCAAAGAATGCTCAATAAAACCTCGAAAAGAAGTCTTCCATGACCGCTGAAGAACGCATAGCTGATGCCTTCGTATACTGCAATACTGTACCGCGGTCCGCTCGAACCGACCTTTCTACTGGTGATCCTTTGCGCCCATTCCTTTCTTCATACATACCTGCCTCAAGCCACATCATCAATAAAAACATAAGGAAACGGCACCTGCATTCAATCGGTAGAATAGAAGTGCGTAGACGGCACCTTTCTGCTACACCCTTTGACCTTAATGTCGTTTACACTTCTTAAAGTTCGAGCATGGGTACAGACACTCCTCGTCGAACTCTCAGAAAAACCACTCACCCGCCATGTCATTCTTTACTGAGCGGTGAAAAGTAATCACATTGAAGGATAACTTGGACTGACCGTTCGGTCACGGGCAATTTCGCCAAACTGCCGACGTCGATCGTATACGGAGGGATCGACTATGCAAGGTACGACTCAAAAGCTTCGGTCGAACCCTTAGATCATGTATGAGATCTGTCATGCTGAGATCGGTTATCGAGAGCCATATGAGCGGTGCTCCTGAAGTGGCGAAAGAGGAAAAAATCAGATAGGGTGGCAATGCTGGGATCTAGGATACCAATTCGGGTCGGCAGCTATGAGTCAAGAAGTGGTGATGTCTAGCTTCATCTCCACACCAAAACCAAAAGTTGCATGGATGGTCCAACAGATATTTTAGAAATCATGAGGCCAAATTGGAAACTGAACCTCTTATTGTACCTTTGTCGCAGTCAATGATTAGAGACACCAATAGGCTTAAGTATTCATGTACTAGGCTGTAAAGTGAGCGATGAGATCATAATTACTGATCTCGCGTAATAATAAGAATTCGCCAAAAACAAACGATAATTGTGCAATGCCTTATTTTCATGATCTACGTGGCTTCACGTAATACGAATCGTAGTGCGTGGAATAATGGTGTTCGCGGAATAAGATTGGTACATTTACGAACGACGATTCTCCTTCTGCTGACTTTAGTGGTCGGACGTATAGAGTCGTGCTTCAGTCCAAGTATTTTACGCCCCCGTCTATATATGGTCATCTTTGCTTGATCTATCATGCGTCTTTCGCCGGCATCGTCCTTAATGTGTGAGAGTTCTTTGAACCGCAATAGTCGAGTCTTCTGCTAGCAGAATTCATAGCCAGAGTCCTTCACAGCGATCTGGGAAAGCATGTTCAACCCGCAGGGACAAGTATGTTCGAGGAGGCTTCATCCGAGCCGTTGTCTATCACTCCTCTTGACACCTTGCACGTGAATCCTTCGTCGTCTCACTCAATGCGCCACACCTGCCGGAACAGGAACTGGCTTGAATAGTGATGGTCTATCATGTGTATCGTCCAGACCACCGTCATCATCGACGCGTGCATCCAGGCCCGAGCAGCCTCACAGGGCTGTATATGTAGAAGATGTATTCTAAGGAACACCTGACGTGATAGCTCGATACTCCACGAGTGAGCAAATCCGCTGGTAAACATGGGCATACGTCTAGTCCAGCACCTTCGAGTACAGTAAATCATATTGTCAAGGTAGAGCATCGCAGAGGGCCATGGTCTCGTCATGTCATTCTTACTTGTAACGCCTCCTTCACAATACGGCCGAAATGGTGCGGCTCCTCGGACTAGCACGCCCATTAGAGACCGCGTGATCAATTCTCGCACAATAAAGCACATTCGCTACAAGCAGGGACTTCTGCCACCGAGGGCGGCTGCGCAAGGAGGATCAATAGACACATCTTATCTAAGTGACGCCATTATTACTTGGAATCAGGGCGTCAGCAGCCACAGAGGAAACGAAGGAGGCAACTTAAGAGAAGAGGTGAACGAGAGTGATGTGCCGTAAATAGCCATCTTTGAGTGATGGAGAATAGTTTTACATTGAAAAGCCAATACTTCAATAGTCACTGGCGCGGCGAGATGCTACCATAATAGCCACTCTTCAGATGTCGGGTCCCTGGTTGTCTGGTCCAAAGAGAATATAAGAGCGGCAGCTATGTGATGGAAGGCCTTTATAATCACTACGCTGACGCCGGAGCTTGTTCTTTTCAGCCCGAGATGCGGTGCATACGTCCTTTCTACAAACAGTTTCTATCGCTGAGTGGTAACCATACATCACTTCCGACAAATCCTTCCGTAGCAGGGACTGTCAAGCGCGTAATACATTCCGGATACCGTCCACGGTAGGTCTACACAGCCGTAAACCGTGATTGCCGCAAATGCGAGGCCTTATTAAAGTCGTTGTCTATCACGCGCGGCGCAGCATTTCTCGAGCCTCAGGATATCACCGACAGAGGGACATGTTAGGTGGAGTCTCGGCTTAGGGTCGCAAGCGACAGGCTCATGCAGTAGGCCTTGCCCTGCTCCGCAAAGCGCAATACGGAGCTCTACAACCCCAAGCTGCGTCCTATCTCTGTAATGCTACGCACTCTGACAGATTTGGAATCACGAACGTCCCACTTTATCGCCTTACGAGGAATCCACGAGTTTCACTTACGAAAGATGACAATGGCAAACGTCCATTTTGCTGATGCAATGGGCAGAGTCTTATGTGATACCACTACCCAGGCGGCATGCTGTGTTACAGCCTTTCAAGGCTTCAGGATCCCTCCCACCTAGGAAGTGGAGAACGACGAAATCTATGCCGGCGAGAACCCGCACCATACCCATTTCAGCTGATTAAAGGACGCGTTCGCGCACCGAGTTTGAATCACCTATCGACGATCAGCATAAAGGCAATGGGGAAGACCTCAATAGTCAGAAGAAGTCGCCGAGCCAGGCAGGCCAAGTCGGTAGTTGACGGTCATCGCAAGATATGTGATGAGGAGCATTACCTCACTGTGCGTAAATTAAACTGTGAAAGGTTTTGTAGCTCTCATTGAATGACAAATTCGTCCATTCCGAGAGTTACTAGGAATTATTTTGAGGTATAGAAGACTGCCCAGTCGACAATACCTAGCCATGACGCGTACCAGGAGTGAAAAGAAAATACCCATCATCGCCGCCCGAGGCATTATCTAAAATAGTAAGGCGGGCTAAAATCAGAAGCGCTATCGATTACAGTTCAAATCATGGTACGAAATGTCAATCCTTAGTTTGGCAACCGAAACGACTAGGTCAGGAAGAACTTGCTATGGAATATACGCTCCCGCAGGTATTAAAAATAGAGCCAGGGGAAAAAGAACAGTCGCAAGAATGCTATTCTGCGAGAGCAAGGTAGACAAAGCCCTACCAACGCGTGCAGTGACACAGATAGCTCCGACGATGAATTCGAAGTTCTGTCAGAATTCCGTGCAACTGAGCGGGAGCTGACTTCTGAACTACCAAGAATCGTACGACACCTGGTATGGTCTGAAGTCGGTCGAGCCATGTATTCTGAAGATGTTTCAAAGAGCGCTCCCAAGGAGATGCAGAGAAAGATGCTGCCAGACTACACGGTATCTTTACATCCATGGTTCTCATGGAACTTAAGAGCCCTCAGCTAATACGCTGTCTCAGGATTTCGAGGCAGAACAATGCGAGAACTGCCCACTTGCCTTGGTCTTGAAAGATATCATTAGAATGGCTGCTGATCCATGGAAAGATACTTTGAACCATCAATTTGATTTGGGCATTGTGTATGGTGAGGAAATTGCTAAAATAAAGCAAGATGAGTCTATGCGCGCCAACTTAGGTAACGGAAAAGACGTTTTTGAGGTCAAGAAACAACAGGCAGAGCACTATCTATCTATACTTCCAGACATCATAGCCACGGATATGTGAAATGTAAAGCACTATCGCCCTTAGATTCGTAAGGTCGGCATGTAGACAATGTCAATGAATGTATTATTGCATCGGCGTCTCGATAATGCGACTGATTCCTAGTCCCCCGTGCCTGCCTCACTGTGCCTGTTACCCACATGTTGGACATGTAATATCTTGTGAAAGCTCTATGCACGTAGCAGGCCCGTTTCATTTCAGCCCCTTTCTAACCAAGAAAGTGCATGAGGAGTGCGCAAAGCAACGCACTTCCATTCCCCAGGAGCAAGGGCAAATAGGGCAAATAGAGGTATACTTAGCAGGCTGCTGACTCAATACTCGCCAGACCTTGACGTATCGCGACGTTGCCGCCATACCTGCCATGACCACGGTCAAGATTCTACAATTTCCCTGTTGATGTTCACTAGCTGTTCGGACTGGAGCTTGCATTTCTCTTTTCCGAGTCCGAGGCGTCGCACGTACTGTCGTCAGCTGGGGTCACGTGCAACGGTATTGCACAATTATGAACGCAGAGAGGAGACTGACCTTCGCTGTAGACGCATCTTCCTCGTAGCTCCTACCCCTGGTTGTGCCTACCCTGACCCTGGCTTTCCGAATCTTCTCGCCTTGGACATTAGCCAAGCCATTTACAACTTCGTGCGCTGGGAGAAGAATGGACAATGATAGAAGAGGATTTCGAAGATAATAGCTTTCCTCGCGTTACGGGGGACCCCGTCGGGCGGCTACTACCCACTGAGAAAAGCGTCCTCGATTTTCAGGGCTAAAAGAAGATAGCAAAGTAGAAGAGTTCAACTAGACGCGTGGCCCCCCGACGCCTGATCGTGACATGTAGCTCTCTTCTGTCCTCTTAGATGTGGAATGCCAAGGTGATTTGGGAAGGACTTCCGCAAAGCGAGCTGGAGACCATTCCCGGGACAGGCTGGCGCCATCGTCACGACGCACGGCCGAGGTGACCTCTCGACAACAAGCATACCGTCTGCTCGAAGACCCGGTAAGCACCCTCACGCAGCCCAGAAGAAGATACAAATCGCCGAGGCGAGGATCCGCGAGCGTGTTGGCGGCTCTGGCGCCGTGAAGGATCAGGAACCCGGCAGCCGACGTCTCGGAGCAGGCAGCGAGGAGGGCCAAGGCACGGAGGAGGTGCACCGACACTAGTAGGTCCGCCTCCAGATCGGCCTCCTCTTATATCACAAGACGCGGGCTTTACGAGAGCTCGCTACCATCCTGGCATTACAAAAGAAGGAGGGTGGACCACCCAGACAGTATGAGGGCCAAGGATAGGCACGCATACTGAGCGGCCCCAGGTCCTAGATCCGGAAGCTGCTGGTCTGGCCATACGCGGCCGAGATGGGGCTAGGCGAGCAGGTTGGCAGTGACTGGCCCGCAATCAGGACGTCAGGGACGTCGTCAAAGAGGTAAGCTAGCACATCGTCGGCCTGCCGCCGCCCGGTCTTCCTCACGGCTTCGGTTACTGAGCAGGCGGCTAACACCAGACGGGTACGGGTGGCAGATCGTCGTTCGTACGATCCGCCGATCGGAGTACCACTGGCCTGAATGCTCAGGGGAGACGGGGGAGGGATCTCGACTCGTTCGTGGGCGCTCTAGCCGCAGCAAAGCTCGGCGTAGACCGTATAGCTCGCCTAGCAGCGCGACTAAGGGAGCAAACCCGGCACACGCGGGGACGACGGGAACGACGAGGACGACCATTGTAACGACGACGGCAACTATGACGGCGGAGCACTACCTGGTGTGCGAGTACTTTCTCAGCTGCGGACTTCCCCCAAACCTGCCTACCTATGGTCAAGAATCCACATACCCGGGGGGGTTCTGACAACACAGAGATACCTGCGGTACTCGAACGCGGTACCAATCGCGAATCATTTCACCTACAAGCTGGCCGGCGGTAGCACCGTCGGCCGGGGCTTCATATTCCTACGCCTCAGTGGCTGGTTCCAGCGCTTCTTCGTCGAGGCGTCCACCGGTGGTCCTTTTGGGCCGCCGATGCATCAGCAAAGGCTTCTTCATCCAGGCACGAAGACTCGTTAGTCGCGCCCCATGCGAGAGCCGCGAGAAGCCTCTCATATTGACAGACTCTTCCCGCATATATGGCTTCTCCAAATGCTAGTGGATCTTGGAGCAGTACGGGATGGAAATAACGGCGTGCAAGAGTTAGGTCACGAAGCTTGAGGCGGGGAAGTGCTACTGGACCCGGGGCAGCACAGAAAAGCGGCTGGCGATCGCTGACTTCGCCACACACGATCTCTGTCCCCACCGACAGTCGTCTTGATGCTTGCCGACTACCACGTCATCATGGAGCCGTACCAGCGAAACAGGGTGGCAGTCAGGAATGGCTTTTCCCGAAATCATTGGCAAGGGAAGAAATAGCATGCCGAGAGTGCCAGCGAAGAAAGGAGGGCAATCAAGAACAATAGGAACAAGAACACCCCGTGGCGTGGATACAAGTGCTCTCTCGTGATGGCCGTGTGCTGGACCGCCTGAGGGAGGGACATGGAGCAAGAGATGCAATACGATAGGTGGATCGGTAACTGAAACGCGCTCTTGTGAGCAACGCATGTGAGAGGCACCAAATGCTTCTGCTTTGAAGCATGATCTCTCTATGCTCAGACCACTGGCCAGGCATCGACCGCGCTCAGGCGTCCTACAATGCATGCACTCTGGAGTGTCCGCTTATTGGGTTGGTAGACGGCTGAGCGGAAATTTGCGTGATTGCAGGGGAATGCAGTGTGTCATCGATTCGTCCTTCATAGGACTCGGTACAATATCGAGCGAACTGTGCGTCGAAACTTTGAGAGCCCTTGGGATTGCAAAAGGTCATCATTGCTTCGAGCACCTACTATGCTGGCGAATTTGTCCGAAGGCATGGCTTTTCAAACCTCCAAAGCCGTGGCGTAGATTTATTCCTGCAGTTCCGGGAGCGCTATTGTCATCAAGGGAGAGGGCTGCTTGATGTTACAGGTAACATGTCTCGACGGCGCTTGTGCACCCTTTTTTCCTTGTCGAAGATGACGAAGGACTCCGCCATCTGGCTTTCAAAAGCATAGAGTTGGAATCTCTCAGGAACCGCGTATTGTAGTCCTGAAGAAAATTATCCACGTCGGGAAACTATAACGGCTAGGGGCATATGGTTCGCGACAGCCTATCTATCTAACCTTTGTTTAAGCCTTGACTCATGTCTTGGAAACCAGTTAAACGCTCCAGGCCATGCTCAGATGTCAGGGTAAGAGTTGAGGGCGTCTTGGATCAAATGCAGTCTAGTGGCGATGATACCGGCTTGCTGTACTGTGTCTCATGGCAATCGTGAGGGTGAGCAAGCACCAAAGAAAAATTGCCTGGATGTAGGCTTAGCCCACTTCTCCAGCACCTTGAACGCGGCCATTTTAGCCGTCGCACGGCTCGCAATTTCTGGTTTTTAGTAAGGGCCTTTGTCCGACGGGGTCTGTCTCATCGATGGTTTCGACAGGGCGGCGGGGTCTACGAGTCGCACCTCTGTCTCTCATCGTCTCCCAGAACTTCCTTCCACATTTCGGAAGCAAGCGTACGGCTAAGCTGCTGTTGATAATACGTTCCTTGTTTTATTGACTGCCTCTCTAACACCTTTTTCTATTGCAGTAGGGGAAGACTGCCCCCTTAAAAGTTCAAGGCGGTTGCAAATCGACACTGGGGGATGCCCTGCCGGTCGAAAACCTCGTAAGGGAAAGTAGGTTGGCTGCTGATGGCTGCTCCGATCGAATAGCTTCGAACGAGAACTTCCATGTTACAGCGATCGAATTCAACGCGTTCTGGTCTCGCCCAAGGTCGCCCTCGTCCCTATTAAGAAGACTAAGCTCCAGATGCTCACTCCTCCAGAATTCCCTCAAGTACTCGCCGATCGATGTTCGCGGCGCTCGCAATCGGATGTATGCCCCTGCTTGGCTGATAGCTAATGGCATACACCCGAGGGCTTCCACCAACGCCGCAGTCTTGCTTATGGATCCGAGTCACTCAGCGAAGTTTCATTCGTGGTGAGCTCATTGTCCACTGGGAGACACTCTTCTGACTCAGCATGCACTGGCATTCAAGATCCAGAGTCTTTCAGAATGATCGTTGGCTCGTTCGAAGTTCCCTTCGCTGAGAGAGCTGGATGTTCGGGTCTTGCTAACGAACGAGACACTGGTTGGCTAGTG